TTAGCCCATATTCACTCTATTTGTGCTAGAGGCGGAAAACCCTTCTATTTCGAAGGGATTGTCACTTCTCTTGCCATAGCCCTGAATTATGGTGCCGCTCTCACAGATATGCCTTCTATGGCACCGACATTGCCGACTCTGGACCACTGCAAGGCCGCACACCTCATCTATGAGCGGGAGGATGGCAAATTCCATCCTGTGATCAGAAACATTGTTTATCATAGCATTACTTTGCCTTGCAGGGACCGAATCGATCCACAAAACAGAGCTAACTGGTTATTCGATCCTGCAGCTCCCGAGGGGTGTGTTCCTACTCATGAAGACCAGCCTAATGCCCCCGCAGACGAAATGCAAGAAGAGATGGACAGTGCTGCCCCCTTCCACGACATTCCAGGACCTTCATCCGCACCACCTCCTATTACTATTGAAGAAGTTCTCTGCGCCGTCCATCTGCAAAATCAAATGAGCGCCGCACTTGAAAGAAGACAACAGGAACAATATGAGTATTTATGCGCACAAAACACTCAGATTTTGACTGGCCAACGAAGCATGAATGAGAGGTTGGACGAGGCCCTGTCAGAACTCAACGCCTTAAGGTTGGACGTCAGCACCCTTGGCTACCAGGACACTGACACCGAAGCCACTCCTACCAGGCGATCACGCACCAGGAGTAAAGGACGTGGCCATCAGTAGTTTTTCTTATTTTCTAAGTAGTTTACTTTTTCTGTTCATTTCCTTTCTGTTTGTTTTTGTATTTGTATTTCCTCGCCTATATACCGCAACATTGAGGACAATGTCAGATTTAGTGTGGGAGAGATACCTTTCCATCTACCATAGACAAGTAATTTTCTTACGATATTTCTCAATTTAAATTCTTCCCCGCTTTATTTAGCCATACCGAAATTTTTTACTTTATCTTCGCATTAGACCGACATACCTATCTTAACGAAATCCCAGTTGAGGAAGCCGAGAACAATTCAACAAGATCGATACGGTTATGACACCTTATACTTCCTACTTACGCGATCCGCTTCAATGACCATTATACCTATATCTTGAGTTTTAGTTCTAAAGTAACCCCTAGTAGTTTATACTAGCAGTCAACACCGTCTTGACACAAACCACGTGGGGAACCGATGAATATAAGTGTTTGATGCCTGGCCAATGAAATATCCTTCTTATCTCGCTGCTAAAAAGAGAGAAAAATTTTGCACCAAAATACAAGGTCGCATATAAGAGACGAGAAATTAATGAAGGAGTCCATTGTCGGTTGGTTCAGAGGTATCTGGTTCTGAACTTGGTAGGGCGTGCTACGGCTCGATCCCCCACAACCTCCAATTTGGATAACATGTATAAGGTTGCCACATTCGTGTACCAGACCCCATGCTAAAAGGATCAAAGTCACTAACCGGTTACTCCACTACGTGCGTGCTAAGACAAAGGGCTTAATGTGATTGCGCCAGAACAAAACCGGGTGAAATAGATACGAGAAACTCTGGGAAAAATTATAACGAAACTGTTGGACATTTCATTTGAAATGGAAGCCTATGACTAAGCCTATTGCTTGTGTCATTAGCTATCGTTAGTGTTTCACTTAAGTATCGGTCGAACTGACGAGGATTTCCCGTAATTGCTTTAAAAATCAAAGGTATGTCATGCATGTGCGCTTGATAAAACTTGTCCGATCTTTCTAAATGACTATTTGCTTGAGGACAAGCAAAGGTTTAAGTATGGGTGAATTTGATAACGAGAAATCGTATCATATAATTACTACATTTTTTATCGATTTTCATAATACATTAACTCGTTTAACTCCCAATTGTTCCGAGTTTTTGTGTCTTTTCACAGGTACAACATGTTTCAAATCAAATTAGTGAAAAAGGATCACATGAAGGAAGCTAACCAAGAATCAGAAGAAAAAGAACTAAATCTGCAAAATCTGCAGATTTTGTTGTCATGACGACCGTCACACCCCCATGACGAGCGTAACGCGCTCACAACTTAAAGGACGCTCGTCACACATCATTGACGAACGTAACGCGCTATTTAAGCGCATTACGACTGTCACCTCCTCATGACGACCGTCACACGCTTAATGCAATGTTATGCATAACAGGAGACGTGGGCAACGTAATGGATGGTTTTCTTCTCCTACAATTCCTCAACTTCAGAAATGTACAGTCCAAGTCTTCCTCCACTCAAGCAGTTCCTAAATTCTCTTAACTGCAAAAATCCTCTTCTATAAATAGGAGGCATTTTAATGGAACATGGTCGGAGATTTTTCTACAGAGCCAAACTTTTGCCTTTCTGCATTATTTTATTTTTATTTGATTTTGAACCAATATACCTACTATACCGTTCAGTTTCTAGAATTAGTTTCCAAAAGTGTTAATTCTTCATCTAAGAATTAACACGGTCATATATTTCAATTAATTGCAAGGATATTGTACGCACTCAAGATTACCACAAAAACATATTTACAGGTTTTTATGCAATTGGTTTTTATTATTCTTATGCTATGTTAGTTGTTTTTATGAATTGTATTTTATGTTGCAAGGTTACTAAACATATTATGTCTGACTAATTTCGTTTGTACCGGTATGTGACTCCTAAGCACCGAAGGAATTCAGTGATAACTTGGCTAAAAAGTTTTATAAATAATTTCTGGTTTCCAATTTCCATATTTAATTTAACCACCATTGTCACGAGAGTGAAAGGATAGTTAACACGATTTTTCCACGAGAGTGGGAAATTAATTAAGGTAAGAACTTGCATGCGAGAGCTGGGGTTCGACCCAGATAGTGGTAACGAAACATTAATTTTTAAATACATGAGAGTGTTTTAACAAATTAATTAAACTCAAGTTGTTTTCAAAAAGTGTTATTAAATTTAAAGTGCATCCACTAGGTTTAGTAGCATAACTTATTTCATGAACACGAGAGTGTATGTCTCAGGTTTTTAAATAATTCGTTTTTACCGAAATACTTTATATGCCAAGCGACTCACCGAGTTCTCAAAGTCCGACTATCACATACCGGTATAGGTATTACTATTGTTTTTAATTAAACTCTTTTTCCCCCAAAACCAAATATTCATCGCTTAGTTAAACAATTGTAACATTAGATCGTATGCGATTGATCCTCAGTCTCTATGGGTTCGATAATCATTTAAAACTAGAACGACTAAACTGTATACTTGCAGTTAGTATCCCAATAGACTCATAAAGTCCCGATCAACGCATATAACTGAAGAGTCTGATATAGCTCTCTTATCACGTGGCCAGATATTGGCCACGTGCCCTTTGCGGATATTATAATTTTGATGAATCACGGGTTTTAATATCTTGATATATAATATTCATACAAATTATACGGCGAGAATTGCTTCTAGGTATATAATTTTAAAGATGTGATTTAACATAGATAAATATATTATTATTTTTTTAACTAAGTCTAAATTAATTAATCAGTTATAATAATAAATGTACAGGGTTATAATTAAAATATAAATGTAAATATATAACGTTATAATTATTAAAATATAAATATAAATATATCAAAGTCATAAAAAAGAAGAAGATAATAACTATATAAAATGCAATTATAAAAAATAATAGTAAAATGATATTGCAAACGGGGGGGGGGGGGGGGGTGTGATTTTAGTTGTGAAGTAATATTTAGGGGGTGCTAATAGAAGGGCCTGAATTCATAATAAGGGTGTACTTAGTTAGCAGCCTAAGCCCAATGGATCACATTTGTTTTTTCCTTTCACAAAACAAGACTAAGCCTATAACTCCAAACACTTTTCCCAACCCTCCTTCTTCTCTCCCTCACGCTCTCAGTAAACCCTAGCACATTGCAACTCTCCGTGGAGGTGCTCAACCGCCTCCCCCCTTTCCGTTATCACAACGAGCCCTTCCTAAACCCTAAAAAAGAAATCAAAACTCCAACACCAATTGCAAGGATCAAAAGAGCTAAGTGCTTACCTCTGAGCTTTTGAATCTGTTTTCGAATCTGGCGCTTTTTTCTGATTATGTTTTTTTTGACCCCGTCTCTCTTGGCTTGCAGGTACCAGTGATGATGATGATGACGGGAGATTAGAGCGGTAGAGGACGAGGAAATTAGGGTTTCAGACGTTGAAACTCTAATTTTCCTCTTCTGTGAAGATTCTACTCCCTATAATTTCATTCTTCTACTGTAGTCGTAATGCCCTCCCCCCTAACGTCTAAAATTCCACTCAATTTATAGTGTTTTTAGGAATTAGGTTTTTTTAGGAAAGCTTTTAATTTGTTTATAATTGTGTGTTACGAATTCAAATTGTTTCCTCTTTTGCATTGATTTTCTTTAAGTCAGTTTCTGCAATTAGTTGATTTGCTTACAATTTTGATTAAATGAGTTTCTGCATTCAAAAGATTCAATGCTTTTCCAAACTGTTTCCACAATTAGCTGATGATGTCCTGATTATGTTTCTGCACTTGCCAATTTTGTTTACTGAGCATTGATTCATGTGTTTATGTCCCTTGATTTTTGAATATTGCTCTGTTATAACATATTTGCAAAATTATTAAGTTCTTGCTTTGGGTTCGATACCTCACTGTCTTGGTTTGCTTGTTATAAGTTGTTCTTGTGAAGTTTAACTAGTTCTCTATACTTGTTTACTTAATACAGGGTACTAATTCAAATTATCAGTATAGGGCAAAGGTTGGAGAGTTTCAACCTGAATCATGGTATGAAACCTAACAATTCTCAATCTTTCACAGCTTGTTCGATTTATAGGCTGGAAATAATTCCTGCCCTTGTACTGGTGCAGGTCAAGAACAAGTGTGATTTTAGAGTTTTAGAAATTCTAGAATCAAGGAGAAAAAGGACGAATCTGAGTTAAGTTTTGTTTTGACTGTTCTTTTATGATTCCTTGTAATTAAAACTGTGATTTTAGTTGGGTAATTTCGTGACAGGTATGCATTTGGATAGGGCATATTGGATGCATAAGCATTGGCAAGCATGAGGTGTTATCTGAATAAGTTTCTCTGTGAATTATCCCACTTTACTATCTGTTTGATTTGATTCTATTTTTCCTGATATTGATGTAGGGTTTTTCTTTGCAGGTATGCTGGCATGAAGCCTGCCATGGAGGAGTCTTGGGGGCTGGTTAATTGGTGCAGTAGTTTATATAGGTTAGTGTTGACTGGTTTTGGATATTTCTTGTTATGTTAATGGACTAATATGAATTGGTGCATGTTATCTGTTGTGGATATTTTGTAAAGGTCTGAAATGCAAGTGTTACTTGATGAGGGTCTATGCAGAGCTGCTAGGTAAATCGTTGGCATGGTGTACGATTTAAGTAGGCCGCTACATGATTATCATTGCTATTTTTTATTTATCAATTCTGTTTTGTTTAATAATAATGCATGGCTTTTCTGGTAGGTGTGACAACATGACCAGAAGTTTTCCATGGGGGAGGCTTCAAACTTTAAAGGAGCAAAAGCAAAAATACAGATTAAAGATTGGAAGTTTGTCCCTGGGGAGGTTGAAGTTGTCTTGCCACCGTTAGGAAAAAGAGATGTCCTACTGATTAGCTTAGGTTTTAGGATAAATAGACTTTGACACTTTCATGTATTCTTTGTAATTTTCTTTGCAATGGTGACCTTTAATGGTGTTGTAATGATATGATTGTGTTTTTTGAATGTTCTGTAATTATCCATGTTGGTTTAAACAAAACATTTTGAACCAACTTCTCTTCTATGTCTCTAAGTCTTTTCCTCTTGAGTTTGATCCCTTGTAGTTCAATATGCCCAAAACTTTCTTCAATTTCACATAAGTGATCTAATGCTATGCTACTTCTTTTTACCTTCATTAATGGATACACCACTTTTTATTTTATATTCGAACAAAAGGAACTCCTTGGCACCTTCCTTGATTCATAGTCCTTGGTTTTAAATAATTGAACAAGACTCAAATATCCCTTCTTCTTTTGTATAATATTATGATGATGCCTTGAATGAGTCCCTAACTCCATGGTTTAGCTTTGCATAATCAATGCCTCCTTGAATTAAGCCCTTAAATGCATGTCTTAACTCCATGTTCACAACAAATTTCATTTGAAGTAATCAAAAGGATGAAGAAAACCCTGACTCATTAATCTTAGATAAAAATTATTTAAAGGAAATCTCGTAACTTGATAAGACAAAATTCAAAGTGCCCTATGAATTCGAACCTTAATTTCACAATAGATGAATGAGTCGGTTGAATTAAGTTAGAGTGAAGTGGAAAACTCATAATCATAGAGAAACCCTAGCTTACAAAATCCTTAATCCCATGCCAAGCTTATTGGTGCATGATGTGTTAGATGAGGGGCATGAAATATATAATCCAGATGATACCTAAAGGAGGGTAGGACAAATTTGGGGTATAACACAACGCTATATGGACTTCGAAATTGTCGTCTTTGTCATTTTAATTTGAAGCTTTAGTCTTCTTATATAGCCTTCAGATGAAATAGTAGTTGTAAGGATATAAAAGTCTTTTCTCCTTCCAATGGTTGGTTCCCAACGAATATATTCAAGAGAGGTTTGGGATAGTACGAAATGTCACTTTCCTATACCTGCTACTCGCAGTAGTTAACGTAAGATTGTGGAAGACAACTTCTGTGAATTGTACAACCAGTATCAGGATTGGTGTATTGTATTCTTCTTGACTAAGTTTCTTGATCTTTATCTTCTGATGATGTACTTTTGATTTTGAAGTATTAAGCTCGGGAGAGATCAATCACTTGTCTTTGTTCTTCTGATGAATGACTGATGAGTAGTCCAGAAACTACTTTGTTGTTGTAGCGCAGGAACACCAGATTGGTCAGAACCAAATCTTGTCTTCAGAATTATGGGCAACAGCCTATCTGAAACACGAAGATTTTATTCTAATCTAAAAATAGTCTTGAAGGAATATTTCTTATCTGATCTTAGAGATGAATATTATGTTGAGAATATGTTTCATTTTAGAAACTTTCAATAGTGGATTCTTGTCTTCAGAATGATTGACAACACCCTATCTGAGAAACAAGTCTTATCGTTGTACATGAAAGCTTTTCTAATGATATCAAAAGCTTTTCTGATGTTGGGATCTTGTAATCAGATATTAAAACAACATCCTTTCTGATTAACAAGTCTTTGAATTCTTAATCTTTGATTCTTTTTCTTATTGGATTGATTCTGGTTGAAGAATGATAGTGATCCAGAAGATATTTTCCTTGTTGTAAATTCAGATTCTTTCAAATGATTTGAACATTTTCTTCATATATATAAGTAGCAGCTAATATGAGGAACAACTTCTTTGAGCGAAAGTTTTTCTGATCTATATGTCTTGATCTAATCTTGATTTCTGATGACAGCTTTTTCGAGCTGCATATCTGATGTCTTATTTCTGAAGCAAAAGCTTATATCAATACATCTAATGTTGAATTCTTTCTTTTTGATCTTAAATCAAAAGCTTTACTTTGATATATTCAGAATCTTGATCTTGTCTTCAAATTTCAGAGCAACAACTCTTCTGATGAACAAATCTTCACTTCTGATCTTTTGAAGCAAAAGCTTATTTATGATGTAATCTTATTTTCTGATCTTGGAGAAGAAGTTCTAACAAAAAATCTTCCTTTCTGATATCTTGAATTCTGATCTTTAAAATGAGCTGGAAGAAACAACTTATGTCAGCCACGTCTTGATTTTTGATCTTGAATTATTCCTTTATGATATATGAGATCTTCATTTCTGAGCTCTTGACTTCTGAAATCTTCATTCTTGATGTTGAGCTGCAAGAAACAACTTGTACCGGTTACATCTTGATTTCTGATATCTTCATTTCTTTTCTCTTGATTCTGATCTTGATTCTTGAGCACTTGACTCTTACCTCATTCTGATTGTGATTCCGAATCTCTACATCTTGATTTCTGATATCTTCATTTCTTTGCTCTTGATTCTGATCTTGATTCTTGAGCACTTGACTCTTATCTGATTTTGATTCTGAATCTTGATTTCTTGGCTCTTTGATTTCTGATCTCTAAAGCATGAGCTCTTCTCAGAAACTCATTGAGATTCTTTTCTTGTCAGACATTCAGCTTTCCATAGAACTACTGATGTTTCATTAGAAACATAACTCAATAGTTCTTCTTCTGAGTGTATAATGTGATTTTGATGATATCTTATCAAAGACTACCCAAAACTTTAATGATGTATCGTCACACTCAATGAAACCATTAGTACTAAAATTGTTTATCATAAAATATATGCTTGTTATCATCAAAACACAAAGATTAAACACAAATCTAAATCTTGTTCTAACAGAAACTCCTTTTGTGATTGGAGTTATTCTCTATTTTTGGGTAATATTGGTGGTCTCCGGTGTAGCTCGAAATAATCATCTCTCTTTTCTATTGTTGGTCCTAGGTACCTGGGTGTCTGCCTCGAGTGGGGGTTCACTAAGTCTACTTGTTTCGTTGTTAATATACACCCTCTGGTCACTATTATAAACAACAATAAAAAATTTCGGTTCATTGAACAATTGATGTATCTAATATATAATAATGACTGAATATATCATTTATTCAATGAATCTAAAAAGATTTTTGTTTCTTATAATAGTGACTATATGGCTTATATTTAAAGTGTAGCCATATAGATAAGAGGGCTTTGCGGGGGGGATCTTCTGTTGAGGAAAGCAAATATTGGGGGGGGGGGGGGGGTATGGTGTGATCTAGAGGATTTTAGTTATGTTTATTCTTCATCAGAAAGAGTTGGAGGGGATAGTTATGTCCATAATGTTAGTAATATTGATTGTGTTTTGTTTAGTAATTTCATTTTTGATATGGACTTTCTTTATCTTCCCTTTCTTGGTTGGATTTTCCCTTGGTATCAATCTTTTGGTGGGGCTACCATTCGTATGGATAAGATTCTTATGTTGGGTGGTTAGTGGAAGTTGTGTGGGAATAGCTACTCAATGAGCTCTGTCTAGAGAAATGTAAAATCAATGTCCTATTATTTTATATATTCCAATCAGTTTTGGGGCCCTTAGACTTTTCGTTTCAATAGTTATTTGCTTTCTCACCCCCTTCTCTCCCAAGTTGGTGCTCAGTAGTTGGTCTAATTGCCAATTCTCTGATTGGAAAAGTTTTTGTCCTGCAAGAGAAGCTTAAAGCCATTTAAGGTGCTTTGAAATTCTGGAATCATCGAGTTTTTGGGTTATCACACGAGATATATCATAGTTTCTCTTATCGACCAAGGTACATCTAGTCCCTTCACACCTTGAAGAATTTTCCACTATGTTAGATCTTTGTACAAGCCTCGCAACAAGACCCTCTTACAATCTTCTAATATAAACATCAAATCTATGTCAGACTTTGACTCTACCCGAATCAAATGACATTTTTCACAAACACCAAAATCTATGGTGGACTTTGAATTACAACTCAAAGAACCTTTTACAACAAACACCTTATCAACACAAATTTGGTAATAAGAAATGACATACACATTTCAAAGACTTAGACACATGCTTGCGACTTTGACTAACTTCGTGTTCGTAGTGTTATCAAATAGTGTAACTTATGTGTACACGATTATATGACCAAATTGATGTCGTGTGATGTCATTCGTTAACAAATTATGACTCATTCTTATCTCTTTCTGAAAATAGGATTTTTCTATATTGATTAAACAATGTCTCATATTTAAAACTATTGTCACATAAATAATATATTTATCTGTCTATGTATTTAAACTCGAATTTATCTGTTAGTTATTGTCTCTTCAAATCTAGGACATGAATTTATCTGTTAGTTATTGTCTCTTAAAATCTAGGACATTGATTCAAACTCTATAATTATTATTTAAAGTTCTTAATTCTTATAATAATTAAAGTTCATAATTGATATATCCCATATATAGAGATGTATCCAATGAGAATTTTGATTATTATGAGAACTGAATTTTTTTAATAATAATTATATAATTTAAATCAATACTTCATATTTTAAAATAATATCATATAAATAAGATATTTATGTATCTATGTATTTAAACATTAATCTATCTAGTACTAGGATGTGTCAGAAAAATATTAATCTATCCATTAGTTATGGACTTAAAATATGAGGCATTGATTTAAATTTTATGATTATTATTAAAAAGTTTTTCAGTTCACATAATAATTAATTAAAGTTCTCAATATATATATATATATATATATATATATATATATATATATATATATATATTCAGTTATTGCAAAATTTCTTTAATCTAACGATCTCAATTAATTTTGTGCAATCTATTTTAGTAAGTGTACGGACTGAAATAATATTAACAAATATATTAATGCTCTTAAATTAATAAATAATTGAAACTGTTAAATTAAAGTAAAAATTAGTGGATAAGATTTGGAGTAGTGTTTTATTGGCTTACAGTTGAAATAAAAATATTTCAAGGTGTTTCATAGTGAACCATCATTGAGCACCCTTGAATAAAACAATTCCACCTGATCTTATAATATATTATTTGTATATAA